ATCTCTCACCCTCAGCAAATAATCCAACGAAGAGTACACGTTAACACGGCCGCTAGGAAAGCGGTCCGTCGCAAATAAACGTGGCGGGAGTAAATCCGAGATTTTCTCCGCCGTCGTCTCCAAAGCCGCCTCCGCCATCGTCTCCAACGACGCCTCCGCCGTTCCTTTACAAAAAACGTTTCTTTAGGACTAAAAAAAATTTTTATAAAACCCTCTAATTTATGTTTAATGGAGAAAGAATGAACTCACCATCATCGACAGCCTTCCCACGTAAGCTTCTCCTCAAAGCCATGACTTGTTCTCGATCTCCACCGTGCTCAATCGCCGGAACAATTGCCCTAGATACTAAATCGCCTTTCTCCCGTCTCGGTTTCCGTCACAGAGCAAAAGATAAATGAAAGAGAGAAGACGAAAAGATTTTTCAGTTTTAAAGAAACGAGAGTTTCTGGCCCACACAAAATTTTCGAATTTTGAAAACTCAAAAAAGTAACCAGATAGCCCAACTAAAGCATTACACGGTTAAGGGCAATTTATGTCTTTTCACTAAGAAACTGCCCCACCCGCGGGAACTGCCTTTTCCTGATATAAAATCTCGGAAACTGCCCTAGGATGAAATAAACTCATATTGTAACGTTAATTTTTGAGGTCCTAACCTGCCGTCACATCTGTCGTATCAAAGAAAAAGGAAAAAATAATCGTACGAGAAAAAAGAATTGGATAGTATAAATGAATCATGGCATTGCTATCGAAATTCTGCATAAACTTTAGCTTTTACTAAACCAAACAACTCATAACAGCCAAAGATTCTCTTATTACCAAAACAGTTCCCATAACCACCAACAACCAGAAGAAAAAAGGCATCGTCCCATGGATGTTGCATCTTCATTGTTCTTTGTAGATTTTACGAAAGAAAGTGAATTGAATTTCTCGAGTTTGTTAACTCCTTCAACCTTTATTTCATTCCAAGATCCTACTCCATCAAATACGATCATTCATACTGAAAACCACGGAAGAAGAAGGATCCGTGAGACGACCGTGACAAATGAAATCACAAAAGAAGATGTTGAGCCCAAGAACAAGAGAGCAAAACATAGAGAGATTGAGAGACAAAGAAGGCAAGAAGTCACGTCTCTTTTCAAACACCTAAGATATATATTGCCATCTCAATATGTTAAGGTAAATACATTTATCATTCTTAATTATCGTCTTTATTAAGTATTAATTACCTAGATCCTTAGTCGTACAAAATATACAGAATAATCTCATTTGTAACCCTGTATCAAAAATTTGGTTCGAAAATTTAATTAAAAACAGTTATAGATAATTCTTTAAACTAATTAATTACGGTGGATACATAAATAGGGTAAGCGTTCTTCATCAGATCACGTTCACGAAGCTGTGAACTACATCAAAGACCTAGAAAAGAAGATCAAAGAAGTCAGCGAGAAAAGAGACCGAATCAAGAGATCTATTACTCATCCATCTTCAGCAGGATATTGTCCTATAAGATCATTAGCTTCATCGTGTTCATCGCTATCATCATATTGTTCTTGTGTTGGAGACACACATATCGATGTTAAGGTGAGGACTTGTTTGGTCGGTATCGAGATAGTAGCAAGTTGCTGTTTCAGACACGAATCTCGTCTCTCAAGTGTTCTTCAGCTTCTGGTTCAAGAACAATGCTTTGATGTCGTTAGTTGCATCTCAACTAAACTCCACCTAAGATTCATACACACCATTGTTTGTGAGGTAATGTTTTCAATTTTCATTCTGTTTTCAGTCAATTATGAAGAGAAAATGAATAAAAACTGATTCTAGGAAAGTTTTGAAAATTCTGCAGGTTGAGAAAGGAATATAGATTAACTTCTCAGAGCTTCAAGAAAAGATAATCAAAATGGGGATATGGTAAATATTTTTTTAGAGATGTATTCAATTAGAAGAAGGGTGTGCGATAATATGCAAACTATCTGTATTGATTTATGAATGTCTAAACTCATATAAAATTAGAGACTGTTAATTCTTATATATAAATAAATATTTAAGTATTAAAAATATTTTAGGCGTTACTTTCTATTTTTTAATTACCCCAAATGAGTATTTGTTTTTGTCTTCTGGATCGTATTCCAAAAAGATTGTAGAACTGAAACAAAAACGAAGGTATGGCATATAGAAACACATGACCCGGTCCATAGCAAAGTATGACCGTACGAGACCCGACTAAGAGACAAGGAAACTAATGATTAATTTTGATCTTTTAGCTAGAGTGTTAAGAAATGAAGATGGTGGTTGGGACATATCCGGAAATGGACCAGACCACATCAGTCTACTTCAGTCCCAAGACTAGGCGGCCAAGACTTGTCATTATCCTCCCTTGTATTTATCCATATGTTGTAGATATCCTAATCATTATAGGATTAGGATAATCATCCCCTTTATTTGTAGCAATCCTTATCTCCTAAG